GCAATCTGCCTGTGTAGTACGCACCTCATACTTCAACGTAGCTTGGGTTATGGGCGCTGCGGATCCCACATCTGGCACTGTCTCTCTTCACGAAGTTGTTCGCGGACTTGGGGCTCTTTACAAACGTGGATGGAAACCACTGCGCACCATTGTCATTGCCAGCTGGGATGCTGAGGAGGTCAGTGTGATCAGTTATCATCAGCAGCTCTCCTTATCCATAGATGTCACAGTACGGTCTCGTTGGAAGTACTGAGTGGGGCGAGGATTTTGCCGACTGGATCCAAGAGCATGTAGTCTCCTACGTCAATGTCGGTATGTTCTTCGTCCGTTTTGTGTATGTGCTCTCTGCTTAAAGTTGACGATAGACGTATCGGTTTCTGGTTCTCGCTGGTCTACATCTGCTTCCCCTTCTCTCGCCCACCTTATCCAGCGTTCCGCCCGAGACGTCCCTCACCCTACTGATGCCCAAAAGACCCTATGGGATGCTCATTTTGATATTGGTCCTTACGAAGGCCCTGTAGATGCCGAGTTTGCTCGTATGTGGGACAAAATGACCTCCGATGAACCACGAATTGGCCCACTGGGATCAGGAAGTGATTACACAGTCTTCCTGCAGAGACTCGGCGTTCGTCTCTTATCTAATACCCCTTCCGGGAACTCCACTCATTGTGCCATTGCAGGTTGCCAGCTCCGACCAGGGCTTCGGTAATACTCCGACAGACGCGCCTTACCACTACCACTCTATCTATGACTCGCAGATGTGGCAAGAGGTGTACGCAGATCCTGGTTTCTACAAGCATGTTTGTTATACATTTATCCTCGTACTCCCCGATCTTACCTGTGACTAGGTTGCTGTCGCGCAGAATCTGGGTCTGTTGACATTGCGTCTTACGGATTCCTTAATCCTCCCTTTAAACACCACTCAGTATGCACTTGAGCTTGACTCCTACGTCGACACGTGAGTGTTAGCAAATGAAGTCACATTATATATCTTGCTAATCCTTTCCAGTGTCATCAAGTCTACTTACCGTGAAGAGATTCTGCCAGACCTTTTCCCTCTTAGAAGGGCCATTGCAAAGCTGCAGGACGCAAGCTTTAAGCTTGATGAGGAGAAAGCTGCTGCCGAGAAGGCTTTCCATAAGGCTTTGAAGAAAATCAGTCGTGCTCGCAATCCCCGTGCTATTCGGCGGATCATTCGATGGATCAAGGAGCATCTCGGTATTAGTGCACCGGAAGTCCAGGACTTGAGGTTTGGCGCATTCAAATGGATGTCGTCTATGACAGAGTCGAGTTTCTCGGAAGCGCATATCTGCGAGTCGCGTGGCAAAGGCCCGTTATCTGATTTCATACGGGCAGCTAAGAGAGTCAGAACCGCCAATCAGAAACTCATGGCGTTTGAGCGTGGATTTATCTCTGAGGATGGCATTAAGGATAGGGAATGGTACAGACATCTGGGCGTTGCTCCCGGGAAACACCTTGGTAAGCCTCTGTGGTACTGCTGTGCAGTCTGGCTAATGATTTCAAACAGGGTATGCGCCAACTACACTGCCAGGCCTGACAGAAGCTATTGTTTATGACGAGGATCGCGAACTTGCCGAGCATGAGGCTGCTCGACTGACCGCACTCATTGAAAACCTCGCGGATTTTCTCGAGGTTTAAAGCAGAGTATACTACCACTTGTAGGCTTCCAGGCCAGCAAACATGAAATTCACCATGCACCTGCTTTCTTAGATACTGCCCAGCGTCGGTCTAGTGAATTTGATGACTTAGTAGCGGCAACCGAAGGTGCATATATTCCCCGTCGAACTTGTATCTGCGTTAAGTTCTTGTGCAGTCGCAACTAGACTTGCGACCGCGGTGCGCGACTCAACGTTTCCCGACACTCTTTTGAAAAGCCGTTAGTGATGGTCAATGATCTTGAGTAGGTAAGCAGACATCGTAGTTCGTAGGTATGTATGTGACATGGGATACATACACAGTAGGACCAGGCCTGCACTGCACATAACTAAACACCATATATCACCGTCGAAAATTGGTCTCCAAACTGCAACTCAGATACATCCGTCAGTGTATGAATATGCGATTGTCCTTCACTCGCTCGTAGGTTGAAAAGGATCCGAGAGGCTAGAACACTGTGGATGACGATCTGCGGACTGGTGACATGATACACAATCAGTTGGTGATGCAGTTGTTCAAGTTGATGTACTCACGAGTCTGTGATGGAAACCCATGTGACCTGTATTCAACAATAAGCACATGGATGGATGGCCAGGTATACTGCAACGCACCGGAGGAGCCATGGTCAAAATTATGTTAAACGATGATACGACTTGATAGTAGGATGTCAACACACGGGCCAGTTTCGGCGAACAGAATAATCTTACTCATGATGCAGATCATATATCTCGCCGAGTCGTTGAAGAACGTTCTTTGAAGTAGTCCGACGGCATTGCCGTACTTGCTGAATCTGATGTACAACATCAAGCAAAAGAGGACTAATTATGCATGAGTCTAAGAATATTCTTGAAAGACGAGACGCCTGACCCAGTTCGTACAGTAACAGAGCAGCGTACTCGTAAACGTTATTTCTGCCGCCCACGAAAAGACAGTCGCCCGGATTCGCTGTCCACCTCGTATGAGTATGATTGTCACAAAAATCAAAGATTGCATCACAAACGTATATTAATAGAGGTCGTGTTTTTGGAATTGAAGATCAGGGGAGTGTCAGATATGATATAAGAGACCGCGAAACAAACCTGGCAGTGGTTCAGCGTCAAGCCTTTTATGGTGAAAAGTGAACGAAAAACATACGACGGGAAAAACAATAAGGAATGCCAGCAGACGCTTACTGTTCCAGGAAGCGTAAATCCTCGTTATGAGCAAGCCTAGAGGTAAAATGTCAATACCGGGAGCTCATTTAGGACATGACATACCTTCTGCGGCTAGAATACAGATGATATGCAACACTGCGTAAGGGTTGGATGAGAAAAGTAATGTAACGTAGACTGTGCACGCTAACCGTTGGACGCTTGTCCAAATCTAACACACTACGGGATTGTTATAAACATTAGGGTATTGAAGGGCTGTAATCGCTCACACTTTCACCAGGATAGTACTGTGTTCGAAGCGCACCTATCCATCAGCCGTGAGGGTTGTCACAAAAAGCGAGTTAGAACATGTGTAGCTCACCCGTGAATGTCATCCCAATGGCGAAAAATGGCAAGTATCGTGATACAGTGAACACAAATCGCACGAAATTCCATCTACGGTGCCAAACCCACTGTGACTTTGGGACAGTCATCAAATGATTCAATAATCGGTGCACCACACGCACCTCTATCTCTAGGGTAATGAAATAATCAAAAATCTAAGTAAGGATATCAGCATCACATATCCCCGAGTTCAAGTCAGCTAATGCGCTCACTAAAATAGCAAACATTCCAACTGGGTATTCAGTCAGCCACGATATCTGTGCAAGCATGAGATATGATCCGTACCATTGAAGTACTGGGCGTAAGGGTTAATCAGAGTTATTTAGAGCTCGACTCATTGCGCACCTTAGATGCCTGGATGCCAGCGTTGACGAACAAAGCAGTAGGGTGATCCATCATGCGTCAAGTTTGTGGAAAGCAAATCAACGCTCTCGTTGTTCGTTACGCGCAAGTTTACCATTTAAGCACACACAACTGACAGCTGTGTTACGTTTACACATCACTTTCATGCTAAGACACGCCAAGTATTGCAACACGGATCAACGCCCATGTCGATCAGTAGCCTAGGAGTCAAGGAGTGATTGTGAATCGTGATATGAGTGACAAGGCTGTAGAACTCAGATCAACAATCAATTCATTCATGACGATGCGCTACCAACGCCACCGTACTGCCTTCAGTAGCTTACCTGCAACTTGTGAGAAAGCAAGGTAGACCTAGTCTTCACCGTATTCTGTGGGAAGTGTAATGGGAATACATGCCCACTACTTTATACAAGAGGGTTTTTACCTGGCCTCCTGCTAACAAGTAGTGACATTGCAACATGGAGGACGCCAAACATTGAACGCATGGTAGCACACCGCAACGGGAGTATTTTACGTAAACTTCATTGCTTCGATGTCATTTTAAATATAACGCTATAGGTGGCAGTGTTCGGATTCTGCATCGTTTTTAACAAGTATGGCTACCATACTAACTGTGGCTAGTCGTTTCGAACAAGCCGATCTCACCGCTTCTTGTTGCTGTGAGCTTGGTCGCTGGCACAAATGGGATTAGCCTACTCACCTCTAAATTGCATGACAATTCGGTGTGCGACGTGCACACCTAACTTTGAGTGTCCCTACGATGGATGCTTCGACTACTGCGTCTACATCAAGAAGGGAACCATCCCCTCTTGCAACTACTCCGCCTCCAGAAGACTTGATTGTGTCACCACCCGCAAGGCCCATTCCTAGATTCAGACCTCGCCCCATCAAACGTACCGCTCAACATGCTCCTTCAAGTTCGAGTGCTCATGTTCCTTCTGCACCCACTCTACCTCCTGCACGAGCATTGACTCCTTCTGACTATTTGCTGAAGCCCGCATCAGTTTCCACTGTGTCCCATACCGTAGTGCCCAAAAAGCGTCCATCTACGGAGTTTCTGGCTGATAGCGACAGCCCACTGACCCGACGCGGAATCAGTTGCTCCTTCTCCAGCAAAATGTCCAAAACCAAGCAGGCAGGCCAAGGCAGGCGAGAACAGCAAGAGTACTGGTAAGAAACGCAAGGGCCAAAAGTAACTTCGGCATTCTCTGGTACGACATTTCTTGACCCACAGCCCTAGGTAAGCAATATGCCTCCGCTCAAAGGATATTTATGTAAAAGTTTGACAGATATTCCAGCTGAAGTAGTAGTCCAGGATGTTTTTGAGGTTACACGCGCTATCAAAATGGTCAGTCCTTATCTTAACATTGGCACTGATGAATGTCTGACACATATTGTTATTGCCGCGACCTACTAGGCCATACAATGGTTCCCGGTGTAATTCCTAAAGGCACCTTGTTGTATCATGGAGCTGTCAATAACACAATCCCTACGGTTCCCGATTGGACAGCCACAGATCCAGAACACTCCATCCTCTTCTGCAATGGCTCTCCCGATACAGGATGTTGGCACTTGACACTTGCAGCAACTCGTCCCCTCAAAATCCTTTACTTTGATGGGACTAGCGCAGCTAATACCCTAATTGGCCCTCTTGATACTCAGGATATCATTGCATGGGGAGTATCAAGACCTGATTGGCGGTTTGAGGAGGACCAGTGCCTCGTGGACTTGTGCAAATGGGGAGCACTGTATGCTGTCGATGGTTATGTTCGATAAGCCAATTTATCTAGCAACATCTCATCTAGCGCGTGTTCGGCCAATGCTGGAGCAGCGAATTTACAGTTTCAAAAACAAAGTGCCCTGTTTCGTTAGCAGGAGGTGGCTCGTCAAGCCGCCAAGAACAGGTGCGTTCCATGTCACTGTACTGTGTTTTTCTTTCTCATTCGTCGGTATGGCATACATCAGTCCCCGTCTTGCATTGGAGTTTATCAAAGGCCTCAGCTAAATGAATAGGCTACGAACACGCCCGCTCGGCCAAGTTGATACTACGAATCCTTTCGATCTCGTTTTGTTTCTAGGAATTTGTACACCATCATACATCGCACTTTCTAGACAATGACGCTGGCACCAACACTGACTGGTTTCACAGTAATTCAGACTGAAAGCCACAGAGCAAGGATCTTCCAAACAATGTCGAGTGTCGAAATCATCGAGGCCAGAAGTCGAACATGCCTATTCATATATATGTTGTGCTACATAGTTAGTACTACTGTAATTTACTAATTCAACGTTTTTTTCATCTCCCATACGACCGTATAGCCGGTCGTATGACCGTATGATGACCCGTACCGTACCGTCGAACATTTTGAATGTATTGACGACATATGGTACGGTACGGGTAGTACCCATAAGCCCGCCGTAAATTGTACGGCCGTAACCGTATACGGTTATGGTGGCCAGCCCTAACTTAGCAGACATCGTAGTTCGTAGGTACAAGTAGTATGTGACATAGGATACATACGCAGTAGGACCAGGCCTGCACTGCATGAATAAAGTTGATTAAACACCATGTACCACCATTGAAATTTGACCTTCTCCAAACTGCAACTCAGATATATCCGTCAGTGTGTGAATATGCGATTGTCCTTCACTCGCTCGTAGGTTGAAAAGAATCCGAGAGGCTAGAACACTGTGGATGACGATCTGCGGACTGGTGACATGATACACAATCAGTTGGTGATGCGGTCGTTCAAGTTAATGTACTCACGAGTCTGTGATGGAAACCCATGTGACCTGTATTCAACAATAAGCACACGGATGGCTGGCCAGGTATACTGCAACGCACCGGAGGAGCCATGGTCAAAATTATGTTAAACGATGATACGACTCGATAGCAGGATGTCAGCACACGTTTGGGCGAACAAAACCATCTTACTCATCAAACAGATCATATATTTTGCTGAGTCGTTGAAGAACGTTCTTTGAAGTAGTCCGATGACATTGCCGTACTTGCTGAATCTGATGTACATCATCAAGCCAAAGAGGACTGATTATGCATGAGCCTAAGAACATTCTTGAAAGACGAGACGCCTGACCCAGTTCGTACAGTAACAGAACAGAGTACTCATAGACGTTATTTCTGCCGCCCACGAAAAGACAGTCGCCCGGATTCGCTGTCCACCTTGCATGAGTATGATTGTCACGAAAATCAAAGATTGCATCACAAACGTATATCAAGTGAGGTCGTGTTTTCGGAATTGAAGATCAAGGTAGTGTCCGATATGATATAAGAGACCGCAGAACACATCTGGCAGTGGTTCAGCACCAAGCCTTTTATAGTGAAAGGTGAACGAAAAACATACGAGGGGAAATACAATAAGGAATGCCAGCAGACGCTTACTGTTCCAGGAAGCGTAAATCCTCGTTATGAGCAAGCCTAGAGGTAAAATGTCAATACCGGGAGCTCATTTAGGACATGACATACCTTCTGCGGCTAGAATGCAGATGATATGCAACACTGCGTAAGGGTTGGATGAGAAAAGTAATGTAACGTAGACTGTGCACGCTAACCGGTGGACGCTTGTCCAAATCTAACACACTACACGAATGTTATAAATATTATTAGGGTATTGAAGGGCTGTAATCACTCACACTTTCACCAGGATAGTACTGTGTTCGAAGCGCACCTATCCATCAGCCGTGAGGGTTGTCACAAAAAGCGAGTCAGAACACGTGTAGCTCACCCGTGAATGTCATCCCAACGGCGAAAAATGGCAAGTATCGTGATACAGTGAACACAAATCGCACGAAATTCCACCTGCGGTGCCAGACCCACTGTGACTTTGGGACAGTCATCAAATAATTCAATAATCAGCGCACTACACGCACCTCTGTCTCCAGGGTAATGAGATAATCAAAAATCTAAGTAAGGACATCAGCATCACATATCTCCGAGTTCAAGTCAGCTAATGCGCTCACTAAAATAGCAAACATTCCAACTGAGTATTCAGTCAGCCACGATATCTGTAAAAACATTAGATATGCTCCGTACCATTGAAGTACTGGGCGTAAGGGTTAATCAGAGTTATTTGGAGCTCGACTCGTTGCGCACCTTAGATGCCTGGATGCCAGCGTCGACGAACAAAGCAGTAGGATCATCCATCATGCGTCAAGTTTGTGGAAAGAAAATCAACACTCTCGTTGTTCGTTCAAGTTACGCCCAAGTTTACTATTTAAGCACACACAACTGACAGCCGCTGTGTTACAATGTTTACAAATTACACCTCAGGCATTACTTTTCGGAACCAATAATGGTCTTTCAGACCCGGTTTCTATGTTGTGGGAAAGTAGTCTGTGAGACCCACCCTCCCGCCATCTATTAATAACACATCCTCCTAGCGTGCACCGCGCACCTCCAGGAAACCCTCGCGCACCTCCAGAAAACCCTCGCACCCTCCAGAAAACCCTCCCGATCCTCCCAGAGAACCTCTCGTACCCCTCCAGAAAACCCTCCAGCCTCTCCCGTGGCTCCAATGCACCGAGCTTGGGAGCCTTACTCCTCCCCGTTTCGCACTGTAAGTTCTTCTCTTCTTTCCCTCACCATGTCTTCCTCGACACCTCGTCGCACTCGGAAAGCTCAACTTGCATTGTTTGGCCTAGGCTCTCACTTTGAGAAAAGATGAGGACACGCAAATGAAGATGTGCATCCAGAGAACGCGTTTGGCTCGTTTAGTAAGCATTTGTTTGTGCCAGCTGGTTGTTCGCAAGCTCATGTCTGGCTCAAACGGCACTCTATTAATAATACATCCTCCTAGCATGCACTGCGCACCTCCAGGGAACCCTCACGTGCATCCAGGAAACCCTCGCGTGCCTCCAGGAAACCCTCGCGTGCCTCCAGGAAACCCTCGCGTGCCTCCAGGAAACCCTCGCGTGCCTCCAGGAAACCCTCGCGTGCCTCCAGGAAACCCTCGCATGCATCCAGAAAACCCTCCTGATCCTCCATAAAACCTCTCGTACCCCTCCAGAAAATCCTCCAGCCTCTCCCATGGCTCCAATGCATCGAGCTTGGGAGCCTTGCTCCTCCCTGTTTCACACTGTAAGTTCTTCTCTTTCCCTCACCATGTCTTCCTCGACGCCTCGTCGCACTCGCAAAGCTCAACTTGCATCTTCTGGCCTAGGCTCTCACTTTGTGAGCCCAAGGAAAGCTCGAGACAAACGGAAAACCCAAACATATGTTGAGCTGCCTGGCGCAGAGATGAAGCGCCGCCGACTTTTAGATGCAATGGAGCGACTTATGAAGTCGCAACATGAGGAACCACACCTGCAGTTATCTGTTCAAGCTGCACCACCTGATACTGTGATTATGGAACACATGGATGCTGACAATCTTGTTGAATTCCACTCTGAAGACGTGGATGAACAACCATCTCTGGAGATCTCAGTAACGTCTGTCAAACGGCGGATCATACCAGACCAACCCACTAATTCACTGTATAAAAACTGGATTGCACTCATACCAACCCTTGTTGATCCGGTACTCCGGTACTTTGGACGAACACAGGGCAAAGCACTGGAAACTATACATCCAGTCATATCTGCATGTGGGGAGCCTTCGTGTACACCGAAACGGACAACAATGATGTGTTTATTTTTCGATCGTCAGCCCATATCTTGCAGTGTTCAAATTTTTGCTGACATTTATTTAGGCTTTACATCTATAGATGTACTAAGTTGTACCTGCTCGACTCTCCAGCAGGTCCTCGTCCACCATGGTCTATTCCCAACCGCGCCTTCACAGCCTCGGATGGCTGTGTCTGTTGACTTGCTTTCATTCTACCGCGCGTTGTTTGAGCGCTCATGTGACGCGATTAACGCACTCGCATCAGCGCTCAAAAATCATTATTCCCGGCGGGGTTACCAGATGACTGATGCCCAGGTAACAATCAGTTACATACTTATATCACTACTGATTCATCAGTGTTTCAGGGCGAAGTTATACAGGACCCCTTCCGCCGAGGCCTCGGCTATGCCGTCCAATGGTATGACATCCTGCAAGTTGAAGTTGAGCGCCAAGTTGAGATGGTCGTTCAACAACATCGTGATCATATAGCAAAGTTTCAAGTGTCCTCTCGAGTCCCAAATTCGCCTTCACTCACTCAATGCGCACCCCTTCTAGTGCAACGGTGTCCTGCTTGCTTTGCAGGTATACTCCATGGTAGATCCACAGATGAAGGAGGTGACATCCACGTTGCAATGGACGGTAATTTCCATCACCGTCATCGACGTGCTGCTGGAGACTGTCCAAATTTCTATGACCCAACCTATTTTCTGCCCAAAAGCTTTGTTGACGCAATTGGGCGCCATATCGACACTCAACGTAAGCGACCTGTGAAGTCTCACGTGCCCCTCGTCCCCAACGAAGCCGTTGACCAATGTGAGAATGCTTATGAGGCTGCTGATGGCAAAAAACAGAAAGCCGCTATGGATAGCTTTGATGACACTGGAATCATGGCCCTTATCTGTCGTCATGACATCCCATTATTTTTTGCCAATATAGACTCACCTGGAGAACAGCAGAAGTATTCAGTAGCTTTACTTCACCACTTCTTTTCATTTCTTCCGCCTGAAGCTACTGTCGTAGCTCTTTACGATATCGGCTGTGTTTTGGCACGAACACTCTCCAAGGTACGTTATGATCCTGGCCGGAACTACTTGCTTACACTATTTACAGTATGACATTCTTCCCATAAGTATCACCTCACGCCTTCGATTTGCAACCACTGCAATGCACGCATATGGGCATGAGTGGGCTTGCCAGCTCGTATATAATCCACGAATATGTGTGGGTCTTGGCTTATCCGATGGCGAAGGGACCGAACGCCTTTGGTCTCGCTTAGTTCGACTGATAGGTGTTGAGCGCACTTCTAGTGTATGTACTCTATTATTTCCATTATGAACTAATTCATTTAAAACACTGCTTAGCGCCAACGCCGTTTATGGCTAATCGATCGGCAAGCAGTGGCTATAGCTTCAGAGATGCGAATTGACCTTGGTGACTGGATCAAACGACGCCTCAGACGGGGCATCAAGGAACAAGGTTCGGCAGCCCAAGACGCGCTAGATCGATGTGGGGTTCCCATTGAAGAATTGCAGTCCGAGTGGTTGCAGCAA